GTCTCTTAAGTTATTTTTCTTTAAAACAATTCTGTTATGGTTAAAAAAGTTGGTTAAATAAATATTTAATTAGAAGTCTGTGTTTGTGTTCTTTATTAAAATTAAATCATTTAGCAATATCATAAAATGTCCAGGCAGAGCTGCACATAAAATATGGTTTTAAAATCTTTTCAATAATTATCGATATCGATCAATATGCATTTTTTTTTAATCGATAAGCTTTTTTTCTATATCGCCCAGCCCTAATTAAACATAATCCCAAATCAAAGACAGAAATAACTTCAACTGCTGCATAGAGCTACTAGAGCTTACAGAACCAGGGGCTTACCCACCTGGAGCAAAGTCTGTCTTCCCAAAGAAGCGAACGATGCCGAGTTTCTGACCTGCCACCAGAACCTGATCTCCCACCTGCACATTTGTTCCCTCTGGATCAGGACTGGCCACAGACATCTTCTTCCTTTGGGCTGAGGTCACAGACAATATTAGTCACATCTTCATGAGACCTAAACTGGTAGGACCCCAGTCAAAATTACAGCTACCCTACCTCTCTCCCTTTCCTTTTGCCTCTCCTCCTTCTTCTCCTTCTTGGTTTTTCCAGTCAAACGAGATGCCAGGTCCGTACGGGGAGTTCTGGGGTTGGATGTCACAGATGATGGAGTCTGATCCACAGCTTTGGATATCTTTGAAACAGGCGCAAAAATACCTGCAGGTCCATACAAAAAACAAAAAATAATGAAGACAACTAATGCATGTTCTTTTCAACAAGAAACCAGTCCAGTAATGTAATTGGGTTACCGAGTTTAGGAGGACAAATGAAGTAGCGAACGCCGCCAACGCTGCCATCATTCTTCCCCTCCGGCTCGTCCAGCTCCACTCCGACCCACTGACCGCTGGCAAACTCAGTGGTTCCACAGAACCTTAGGGTTCCAGTCTGGGACAGAGGAAGGACAATGTTCTGAAATCAGTCCAGATTCTTAGTTGTTTTCATTTTACTTATTTAGATCTCCATTAACTACAACACTTAGAAAACCCTCAGCTGATCACTGAAAAATCAGGTTAGCCACCCATCCATTAATCTACAAACCCACTCAACGACCCATCCATCCATCCATCCATCCATCCATCCATCCATCCATCCATCCATCCATCCATCCATCCATCCATCCATCCATCCATACCTTCATGTCATCCAGCAAGACGCGCTCTCCCAGTTTCAGTCCAAGCGACGCCAGCATTAGGTTTCCTGGAATGTTGTCGTAGTTGGGAAGAGTGGCCTTTGGAAGGTTACAACTGAGAGGAACAGCATCCAACAGCAACTGCTTAAGATCTTTGGCCACCATGGCTGCCTCAGCTTTGTCCAGACTCATGTCCATAGGGTCAGGAACAACCTCACCTGGAACCTGGCCCTTGTCGTTCTGCAGAAATACAGCCAAGCGGTCTCATTGCAACAGCTTCAGCTCTACAGAAGTTCCTGCTTTTACGTGTTAATTTGTTCACTAATAAAAAGGAGGTAGGTAAGATGATTTTACCCTGACAGTGGGGTTGGCTCCATGCTCCAACAGACATTTAACTGCACCCAGACAGAGATTGGAGGCAGCAATATGCAGAGCTGTGCCATAGTGGAAGTCACTGCATGTTGAGTTTAGCACTGAGGAGAAAGGAGAAGAAAAAGAAGCTAACTTCCTCATCTGGAGTCCAGCTAGGATCTGAAATCAAATCAGGATTATGTTGGAGGGTTCTCACACACCTCTGGGTTTGGCAGCTTTGAGTAGGACTCGGATCAGTTCTGGCACATCAAAGTAGGCAGCATAGTGCAGCGCGTTCATGTTAGTCCATCGACTTCGAAGACTCACATCTGCACCGAGTGAGATCAGCTGACTGCTGAGTCTCAGCGCTGCTGCCGGGTCGCCTGCAAAGACAATAAGGAGAAAACTGAATGTTGCCCTTGGTAAGAACCATCAGCATATCAGCACGAGACCCCAGTTCCCACCACCCTTCCGCATTTGGCCACATGGCGAAGGATTTGGACGTATAGATAGGAGCTCTCCCAAGTCGAAAAACCAAAATCCAAAAAAAATAAAAACTCGATATAAAAATAATTAAATTGGCAGATGGAAAGGTTGGAAGAAAAATAAGAAAGAACCATTGGAGTTAGAGAATCAAGACAACAACGGATGCAAAGACATGACAGAGGAGCACGTACTTGAATGGAGGAATGGACTAGCGAAAATCAGCAGACATAAATTAAACCTCTTATTACATTGAAAAAGGAACCCAAAACAGATATTAAACAAGAAATAAAATAATTCCAACTTTAATGTGGAGCAAAAGTTTAAGGAAAAGTAATAAAGCGCTGGATAAGCAGAGGAAGGAACTCGCCCAAGTTCAAACCAACATCTCAGAGCTAGAAGACATGGGCATGGAAGCTAAATATTTGACACCAACAATGCTCACCCAGATGCGAAACATGCAAGACAGGTTTACAGACCTCCTGGCAAAATCACAAACAAATAATGAGAAGACTCAAAAGAAATAATAGAGACAAGGAAATAATAAGAAGCCTCAATGGTAAATTACTTTAAGAACAAGCTCAGAAAAGATATAGACAGTCTCAAATAAGCAGGATTGGGAATGAAACATGCCCACAGAACCCCACAACACAACCCAAATTCTGGTAAACCACCGAGAGCAATAGTGGTTAACTTTTTAAAATTAGAAACTAAGGAAATGTCCCTGTCATTTTTGCACCTTTAGGCGGAAATTTTTTCTTGCTGCTCTCCTCTGCTTTGCTCCGCTCTCTGCTAATTATTTATTTGTATTTATTTCTTTATTATGTACTTATTCAAGCTGTCTAGCAAGAGTGTTCCCTTTGCTTGGTTCTGCTGGTTCCTGATAAGCAGCAGACGAGCAGCCGCAAGCTTTATTAATAACTCTTTTTTGAATATACCACTATATATACCACTGTCTGTCTGGTTCTGAGCCTTCTCACAGAATAATCTGGCCTAACATGGACCCATCGGCAGACAGTTGTGAGACAGTGGGGAGAGCCTGCAACTCCCTGCCCCTGCTTTGCTGTGTCTTGTCCTTTTCTGAGCTCTCTCTTCATACCATCCGAACTAAAAAAAAAATGAATCTATTCAGCTGGTCTCTCAATGCAATTGATCAAATTTATTCAACTGGCAGACAGGGAAAAAGGGACCTGTCCTGTCCTGCTGGGACTTACTTCGTGGGATACACCATGAACTCCTGGAAAGTGTGGAGTGTTTCACAACGTTGTCACTGGAGGATATCGAAAAAGTATGGATTTTTAGCTTTATGATACTCGGATTTCTCCTGTTTGGAATTGGAGGGTACCTGACGTATCTTCAATTACAGAGGATTTTGGCAGCAATTTTGGAATTGATCACGCTGCTGGCAGCGGTTGACGCCCTCACTAAGGCTGTGAACAAGCAAGATCGGGAGCTGAGCCGTAAGCAGACTGACTGAACCAGAACGTTATAGATTCATAGCTTTTTACAAAGTTAGAACAACGGTTACTAATCTTTTATCTGATCATGTTCTCAAGAACTGTATTTGTAGTCTAAGGTCATTCTATCCGCTTTGAAAACTTGGATCTCTTTAAGAATTAGATGCTTTATGGGGATGCTCTTTTCCTGTTGATGGACGTACATATCAACCAAGACACTTAAAAGGACTCCTCCTTAGCGTCCTCTACGAAATGTTTTCATATGTTTGTGGATCAATAACAACAATTGTTTTATTTAAACACAAAGAAAGAGAAAAACTGGATTTAAATCAGGCAAGTTTCTCACCAACTCCATGAGCTCCAGCCTTACAGCTGTAATGAAGTAGTGTCATATCGGTCAAACCATCACGGTCGTTCACATGGCAACCACGCTTCAGGATCTAAGAGATGAAAAAACTGAGTTAGCTGCATCCTGCTGACTGACATCAAAGACACAGCTGAAGAAAGATGTGTTTTACCTACCTACCTACCTACCTACCTACCTACCTACCTACCTACCTACCTACCTACCTACCTACCTACCTACCTACCTAC